ATCATTAGGGGACATCACGCTTTCGGATGTTAAAGACGCGGCCGCGAATAATTTTAAAAATAATAAACCTTATTCACCGAAGTGGTATTGGTAGTGAATTGTACAAGATCATAACCGGCGAGCTCAACAGCCAATCAACCTTGGTACTTGACGAGGCTGAGTCAATCAGAGTGGACAGGAATCTTATAAAAATCCTATAAAAACTACACACAAAACTTCTGTAAAATATTCATAAAAATAAAACGTCCACATCAATGTTACATAAATACAAATTTCCGGCAAAACCCCTTCACAATTCAGAATTCTAAGATACTAATTAAAAACTAAATATATGTCCACGATAGAAAAATATTTACAATTGTGAATAATTTAAGAGTGGGAAAAGGAAGATCAAGCATTACTAAGAAAAAAACTGTAAAATCTAGGCCTAAAATTATGAGTGCAGATGTAGACCAGCTACAGCGAAAGTGAAAGGAATTAGTTGCCGGCAATAGAATGCGTTGCAGTTTTCCGGCGTTCAATTGAAACAAAGACGGGGTTCAATTTGAGGCCGGGAATCCTCTTTCGAGCTCCTCAGGGGCTCACTTTTTCCAAGCACGTTTAAGTGAAAAAACAAAAACTGACCAGGCACATGAAGTTAGAGATCGTGCAGTCAACCATCAAAGACAAATCCGAACTTCCACCACGTTAAGAAACAATACAGGATTAATCTGTCTGAAGTGTTACATTTGTAATACAGTTTACCGTTTAAGGGGTCTTGAAAGACGGCCGGGCTTAATAACTTTCTTCCCAGGGAAAGGGGGAGGGGGGTATTAGAGAGAGGAGACGTAATAGATTTATGGTAGCTAAAGCAACAAGAGTGAGCCTAGACTGGTGTAGACTACGAATAGTCCTTCCAGGGATCATAGAGCGAGGAGGAGACGAGAGGGCGAGTGAATATCATTTTCGTACGATCTTACTGCCCCCGAAATGATCCCGACTGCCCGAAATGATCCCCAACCCTGAAATGATCCCCAGTTAATTTTAGGAATGGAATGATGTCCCGAATCATAATCATAATATAATAACGTGGCCCAAATATTGAGTTCGACAAGTAAGTTAAAACGGGTGAAACTATAGTTCTACGAAGTTGTAGATTTAATACAGGGTGAATATTATTTTGTTGCGATGGCTTTCACCACAATTCCGATATTAAAGCGGAGCGCCGTTAGTCAGTTAATTATGGGAGTAAACAAGCGGTTATTTGCATACAAATTGGCTCTACAGCCTTGACTTATTATAATAAAAACACCAAACAATTAATAACTTAACAAGGATCAATTAAAACACGCGACTAATAAACGCTCCCCCAAAAAACAGACACGACATACCGTTTTAAAAAACTTTATTAAAAAACATTGACAAAAAGAGTCAAATACACAACGATTCGAAAGGGAAGGAAATTAATTAATCCTCATCTTCTTCGCCCATGGGGTACTTGTAAGGTTTGACTCAAAACTTGAAAAAAGTTAATGTCTTAGCCAAAGGATGGCTCGGTCCATTTTTTTCAAGTTCCTCCTTGACTATGGTTACTCCCTAGATGGCCTGTTAAATGATATTCCCCGCGTTCTCTTTGGTTCAATTTCTCAAGTATTGAAGGTCGGTACATTGGTTGCATGTTGTTCAATAGACATCATCAGGGTTATCAGGAGCATGGTACTTTCTAATGTTAAGCCTTCTGGCAAAGGCATCTATGCCCTTGCTGAGAGTTTCTAGCTACGGTGGTGGTGGAGTTGAACAAAAATTCAAGCCCTTCGCTAATAAATTAGTTTCTGACTGGGTGAGTTTTAATGAAGATAAGGTAACTATTCTTCTTTTAAGGATTTCAGCTTTCGTGATAGTTTCACTGTTTTTTTCTTCCATTCGTTTTCCTTTATTCGTAGCCCGTTTCCGTTCCAAAGTATCGCTACAAATGGTATTTTGCTTCGTGTTCCATATATGATGTGTTTAGTCTTTGCATCGGCCGCTTCTTTGAAATGGTCTTCGGCCTCTATACTGCTAACAGACTTGGCGCGAAAAAATTCTCTCACGGAGTTTTAGCTCCATGAAATGTCTTTGATTCTCCCTTAAAAGTCAATGGTCGGCCTCTCATTGTATGTGGTTTGTCAAACAAAAATAATTTGTGCCTTTGGCTATCAACGGGGACAAAAAAAAGGATGGTAATCGAGACGAAGGCAATTTGCGTGGAAGTATTGGGCAAAACCATCGCAGCCCACCTTGTCCTCTCCGTCATCATCACAGCAAATCGTGCACGAATCAACGTTCCTTCTGCAAGTAAGACTGCAGTAAACAGTGATTCAGTCTAATGAAATCACTGACAAGCCATGACATGGATTCATTTTGAGAATATTCTGATATATGGGGGTATGTTCAACTTCAGAAGTTCACAATATTCTTAACTCCGCTCGGGATTTAATTTTTTGACCGGAAACAGTTCCATTGTTAGATGTCATGTGACCTCGAAATAGTTAATGAGAGCACGCGCTGTTGAGAAAAATTTCCAGCTTTATAACAAATTGTTTTCTTTCATGGCACCTAACCCGGGTACCAGAGGTTTTTCTCGGAAGTACGACGGAGACGTTTTGCGGTCAACCGACATGTCTTCGGCCGAAACCCTTATCGAACCCGAAAGCCCCAAGAACGAAGCTTTTTTGGAGACCTTGCTAATAGTTGCTTTGAAATGTTTTTCAAGATACGTAAAGTAGCCTATTTCTTGCCCTCAGTCGTGCAGGGGGAGGAAAGTGCAACCCCCAATAAGATTTGTCTATGAGTGGCTGTTAATCTTTTATTTTTCCAAACACCCAACGGTAAACTTTCATTGGCGAGCTTCGAGAGTCACTGTTATAATATCTCATATTTAGTAATATTCCATTTCATGGAAAACTGCGATTTTTTGTGTGTATAAAATCATATAAAACTGTACCAAAGCAAGTAAAATAGTTAATTATAACGTCTTTTATACCAATAAACATAAGAAAGCTAAGATTTTAAACCATCTTCATAAATCTGCGGCCCGCAAGACGTTTCACATCTTGAATGACGGACAGGTCCCGAGCAGCGCCATGTTACATATAAATATTTGACAGTTGTAGAGCTCATCACAGTTGGGCTATCCACTGAACGTCTCATCTTTGCTTCTCATTCACTCATTCATTCATTCATTTATTTTTATTTCACGGTATTTACATTACCAGTTCACAGATCGTTGAGATGTAACAATTAAATATTCTCTTGAAGAGTTAATGAAATAAAACAAAACAGAGTTATTGATATATTGAATGTGTGTGGTGGCCAAAGCAGCATCTGCTTTCCAGTTGGTCATCACCTGCTTTAGAATAAACTGAAACCCACTTAGCTTTATTAACAGGGAATCGTAAAGCCTAAGACTAGCATAATTTCATGGTTGACGGTATCAAAGGGTTCGGAAAAATCTAAGACGAGACCACATGTAATGAAATTTTTTTTCAATTGCGGTTTTAAGATTGTCGCTTATTTCCAGAATAGCAGGCTCAGTGGAATGATCTTGTCACTACGTGGACTTTGAAAACTCATAAAAATCATACTTAATAACGGGTAACTTGAAAGCATGCCCAGATGAGCGTGTAGGAGAATACGGTATGCAACTGGGCGGAGTTCTGTATATCTCCTTTGGCTAAGTTATATGTGAACTTGTAAAGCACAGAAACAAGTAATTGTTCAGTGAGATTGCAATGTCTTCCAGTCCAATGCAACTAAGCATATCAGACACATTGTCCTGACGATTGTAACGTGACAGGACCCAACGAGCTCCTCTCCTCTGAACCATTTCAACCTGCACAATGTTCTTGCCTCTATAACAGTCCCATACTGATAAGAGGTATTCAACTGTAGGCCTCGTGGCTCAGTAGAGCAATATTTCAAATTTCGCGTGAGGAATCCTATCGTCTTATTTGCTTTGTTTGTGTTTTTGTTGCATATGATCGTTCCACTTAAGATCTTTTGAAAGATATACCCCAAGATACTTGGTAGTATCTATTGCCTCAAGGAAGCAGCCGTGAAGTTGTGAAGTGTGCAATTGAAAATGAAGGGCTCAAGTCGTCTCTAATTCTTTAGGACATTGTATTTGGCAATATTGAATTCCGTTTTCCAGTTTTCCCCCATTTTTCCAAATTAAAGTCTGGTTTACTATTAATAAAATCGTCGCGCTTAGAAATAAGCGAATTGCGAAATTATTTTACAAAGATATAGACATTAATTAAAAAAAGAATTAATTTAAACTAATTACATTGTGTTCAAAATGTTCAAAATGGACTGGGCCTTACAATTATGAGAAGATATAATACCATGGTAGATAAAAAACTAGAAACTATCAAGTTATACATTAAATTCCCATAAGTTCCTAAATTACATGCCATGAGCGTAAAGGCACATCGCTCGAAAAAAACTTCGTTTAAAGCTTTCAGTTTTGCAACTTTATAAGGGATGGTCTGTCTTTGTTGCGAAGGGAGCGGCCGTGCGCTTGCGACCGAGTCGGTGGAACAAGGATGGCCAAGACGGGACGCGGGCTCTTTTATCTTTGTGAATAATTTGCTACACAACTCCATTCTTCTTGTGTGAAGTGATAAACACCCGGTAGTAGCTTAGGCCTCTTGGTAGTGCAGCGCAGGAAAGATGATGCGCAGCGCCCGTTTCTGCACTCGCTCGATCCTGATAGTTTGACTGGGAGGGCATTATGCCACACATTCTGTAAAGCTTTATGCAGTTGAACAGTCATCCAAGGATTTTACAACGAGATCATCAGCAAAAGGACGACTTTTAGACCAGTTTGGCTTTTTGACCAGTTTGCAGTTTGGCAAGTCCGCCATTTATAAATGCCAAAAATAAGATTGGCCCTACATTAATAAACCCAGACTTCTCAGCCTCTAAGATGACACACTGCTGCCTGTTATTGAGGACATCTTGTATCCATCCCAGGTACAGTGTCACCACACTGTAGGGGAGTTCGGAAAATGCCACACAAAGTTGGAGCAATCACAGAGTTTAGTTCTTTTAACACACGTGGATGGGGACCATCCGGGCCAACGGTGTCGATTGGCGCCATGTGTGGGGGGATGACAACGCTGGCTGGACATCTGTTGATTTAATGCTGCCTCTGCAATGTGTGAAAGCTTCATTGGACCAGTTTGGGAGAAAAACTCTTGCATTGTTTATTTGACAATTCTACTTTGCAGATAGGTCAGTGGACACCAAGTCGTCAGTGAGCACCAAGTCTCCTGATTTCAGAGAAGTAATGCCAGTTTTGTCACTACGTGCGTGTTTAATAAAGGACCAGAAGCATTTACTGCAGCTAGGCCTACGCTGTTGCAGCAGATGACCATCATCATCTGATTCCTCAAACACGTTGTTCACGTAATCACGTATTTTTTTGGACTTCCTTTATCAAGGACTTGTGATGTTTAATATCTTACCGAAGGGTTGTGCGTTTTAGTAGTTCTATCCGCTACCTTGTAGAAGTAGTACCTAACTGAAGCGCTGCTGTGCGCGTCGATCTCTTGGTTGCTGCTGTATTTGATTCATAATATAATGAAGTGGGTTTATCCGGTTGAAGAACCTTCGCTCACAGCAAAACATTTTTTTGAATTCACTTTTAAAGATAGGATTCATTCCTGCGTATATAAAAGGATTTATTGTATTTGACAGATAAATAAAGAAACTAGTAAGGAGTTCAATATTTCGTGGCATCTCAGACGTGACGACATGGAAGCGCCTTAAAAGAACGATGACCCAAAATGGGATCCAGCATATCATGAACGCGAACACAACCACAAAGAGACACTTACTCAGCTTCAGTTCTTGCACGGTGATGCTTGAGCCTGTTGCGCCCCTGTGAATCGTAGATGACATAGCGGCATTGTGCTGTCGGATCATCTTTGCAACCTTTATGTAGCTGAATATTGTTGTCGTTAACGGTGTTAAAAAGAACAAACTGAGGACGATGGTATAGTGGATAATTCTTCCACTTTCACTGACATGAACTACACCGCAAAGGGCATATCCTGGAATGAATGCATAATCCTGCAGACCAGCTAACTTGGGAACTGCACTGTAGCAAGCAACGAGGATCCATACACAGGCCAATAATGCTCGTGACTTCCAGGGTGAAAAGATTCTCTTGTATTGCTGCTCCGACTTACAAATCCTCATGTACCTGTTAAATGCTGTTAAACCCATAGTGACGGGTGAAACGTACACCATAAACATAGCCATGTACGCTTGAAAGTTGCAGATCACTTGGCCATAAACCCATTCGCCTGTTATAAGCACACCCAATGTAAAAGGCATGACAAATACAGCGGACATCAAGTCACTTACAGCAAGTGCGATGATATACAGAATGGTGGTTGTGCGTAGTCGTGTGTTCTTGTAAACTGCAATACAAACCAGTATGTTCCCCGTTAACGACAATACGTTTAAGGTCACAAGGAAGAAGACTTCCACGCTGGTCAAAAAGAAACCGCGATTGCCGAGAGTATCCGCCATCGTGGTTCTTCTAATGGATATTTTCTTAAAAGCAATTCATGATCAAGGATAGTCGTAAAAAGGAACACAGAGTTTTACGGCTTTAAGATCACGAACGTGTTAATTGTCAAACTGCTTTTTTTTTGTTACCCTTTGTCCACGACGTTTAAACTAAGTAATGTAAACAAATACGTTATAACAGGTTGTATCCTCTTCTCAGGTTTTGTTAGGTTTTTCACCTGTTAAAATATTCTTTTAGAATAGCCAATGGTCCTTGATAGAAGACAACGTTCAAGGATGCTAGTTTCAGTTTGGCTTTCATTTGTCATTTGCAACTTTTTTCCGTTTGCAAGTAATCAATGAGTGGTAAATGTTAAGAGTGGTGCATATGATAACGGGGCTTAAATTTCTTTAACCCTACTTTCGTTTCTACTAATATACTGCATGAGTTCGACGACAAAGTTAGGACAGGTGAAACCAAAGGTCTTTTATTTTAGGGGTAATTCAAATGTGACACTTTCTCATAACGTCTGTTCAAACATAATGCCAATCACCAGCACCTTGAATTGTTAAAATCTGACACATGAAAGCCGGGTATACGTGACGAAAAAGAAACAAAATCTAACCCCCCATAACATTCGTTTTTCTGAAAAAGTAGAGTTCACCAGGAATTTGGGTATTACTTCTACCTAGGCTGAAGGCAAGCTCTCCATCTGGCCCCCGGTTTTTTAACTGTTGCATGGATAGCGCTATCCACTGAACGAATCACCATTTTCTTCTGGATAGAGATTTATCCAGTGGATAGAATTATTCACCTTTTGAACAACTGGGCCCCTAGGAATATTTTGCGAAGTCACGCGCTAGCGACATATACCCTTTTAATCCTTCTATAGTCGAACCTCTCTAGTACGGACACCGAAGGGACAGCGCGAAGTGTCCGTATTAGAGAGGTGTCCGTTTAAAAGAGGTCACTATGATGACGTCACTTTTATGACTCCACTTACAGTTTTAAGTGTTCAGTAAGCTAAAATCAGGCTTACTCTAGTCTTTAAACTGCATTTAAACTTATTAATTTACAGAACAAAGACACTGTCTTTCAGTAACATACAACATTGTACATCTCAGCTACAAAGTAGTACAGTCGTCGACAAATCACTGCTTAGAAACGAAACGAGCTACAGCGCAATACTTCATGTAAAAGTGTTGAAACCAGGAGGTTGAAACCCAAAGCACAATTCTGCAAGCGTTTTTCGCTATTTTGTAAGTGCACTAATAGTAACTAGAGTACAAAATGTAATAGACAAGATCAAGTTATGCTATCTGTAGTCATTCAAGCCTTAAAAAAAGCCGATTATGTTCCTCTGCATGCTCTGTAAACCTTTCGCAAATCGTTGTTTGATATACTGCGGTTGGGCTCTTGAAATCACGCACCTTGCACACACAAACTATCATCTCCTAATCACCTCAGTGCGGTCTGTAATAAAGAGCCGGGTTAAGTTTATATGAATTTACTCTCTTGGGCTGAGATTTAGTGTCCGTTGTCCGTATTACAGAGAGTCCGTATTATGGTCTTATGGAGGTTTTTTTGAAAGAATTACTATTCATTCAAAATATTTCCCCAATTATGATTGGCTAAAAGCACACACATAATTCACCATAACCAGTTACTGATGACCAATTTGAAAGAATTTTGTGTTTAAAAAGGAAATGACATAAAAAATGCAGCTCTCTACAGGTTAAGGCACCGTTAACCGAGAAGACCTGGGGACGACGTTGAGTTGGGAGGTGGAGGTGGGAGGTGGGGAAAATTTAGTTTTGCTTGTACCTAAAGCAAGAGAGGATGAAGGGGATAGAGAAGGCATCCCCCATACACACCCTATTCCATAGGTAATTCGTTTCGAGTTATTTTTACGACCACAGATCCCGAGGGGGATTAGACAGCAGCCAATCACATAGCGCGAATGTGTTCTGCGTGGATGACCCACGCTCAGAGCCACGCGTCCTTCACGAATTGACGCAGAACAAAATGGTGGAAGACGCGGAGAGCAATATTGCTATTCGCTTTGTCCACGAAAACGACTACAGAGAGATATCTGCTAAAGCTGTGTCAGCGAAACGGAAATTAAAAAAGAATCGCTCTTCCTCTCTTGTATAGAGCTAACAGTACAGCATGGAAATCCTTAACACACTGAGTATTCTCTCAGGATCATTTATGATTTACAGTTTAAAGAGAGCAATTTCTGGTTTGATATTTATTCTTTTATTAGTCTTTTATTATTCGACAAAAATAACACTTGGCGTCCTACTTGCTTTATTGTACAAATGACCGGTTTCAATAGATCGTCGAAATTTCTCATTTTATTAAAGCACTGAGGCTACGACATCTTTGAGTTAAACTGATTTCACGGGTTGTCAAAGAGTCCAGCGATTCTGTTTTCCAAGGTGAGCGCCGACTCATTTCGCTTCAATATTGCGGAATGCTCTCGATCTCTTTACGCTTTCATTGCCTTTCGCCCGACGTGATTTGTAGGGCGTTTAGTCGTGCCAAAGACCTCCACAAAACATCTACGCAGCGCGCGAAGTAACTTTATCTCGATTCTAAAAATAACTCGAGACGAATTACCTATGGAATAGAGTGTGTATAGGGGACGCCTTCTCTATCCCCTTTATCCTCTCTTGACCCAAAGTGATTAAAACGGCCGCCATCTTGGATTTTACTGTCCGTTTAGAATTGTTCAGAAGAGTGCTGAAACTGAAAGCGTTTATTCTAGAACAAAAATATGGTAGGGTTAAAAATTAAATTGAATTGCTCTTAGATGATTTCGTATTTTTATGTCTTGTTTTTCTACAGAATGAGACCCAAACAACAATTGCCGAAAAATCATTAAAACTTTTTTCTCCTAGCGGCGTGAGGCGACGAGAGACGGCTGTGTTGGAAGGTTTAATACTGAGCGATCGTTAAGCCATTGATTTGGAGCTTAAGAAAAGGCTTTTTATTGTGTAAAATACGCTTAGCCTTTTCAGCGAGAAAACTCACTAGCTAGTTTACGGGGAGTGACACATTAAAACGATAAGAAATTTAAAAAAAATTGATAATTATGACTAAAATATGTACAAAATAACTAATTGAAAACAAAAAGAAAACTGTTCACATAAGACTAGAAAATTTCACAAAGATTAAACTAAAACTATTTACAGTCTAGACTGCGAGCAGTCTCTCTTTTTCTTCAGTTTTAGTGAGAGCAATGCACGCGCGCGGGAGCGGCGAAGCCGCGAGACGCGCGAAACGAGGGCGGCAGCTCTCCCGTCTCGCGCCCATCAGTCACGCGCGTGGCCATTTGCGTGTCTCGCGTTTTGCTCGACAGACTACAGAAAAAAGAGAGACTGCTCGTAGTCTATTTACAGTCCGATAGACTGGTAGTACTTAACCTGAGATCAGGCCCAATTTGAGCGGTTCTCATACATTCTCTCTAACGGCTACCGCTGGAATGTAATTTTCAAAGCGAAACGAAAATAGAGCCTGATCTCAGGTTAGGTAGTACTAGTAGTAGTTTATTATAGTAAACCTAACAGGTCCAGTTTTCTAATACCATTTTTAAAAGCCTTGAAAGATCGTATAGTTCTTTATGAATCGGGTATAGAATTCCATAGTTTTTAGTTTTTTCATCGTGTAAAATCTATAATCTTGCTCAAACGAGGACTAAAGCATAACCAACTAATCATTACAAGGTACTTTCTTACGTAGTACATTGTACACTATTCGCCTTTAAAGATGTATGTGAAAAGTACATCTGTGCGGCACGCAAACCACTTGTAGAAACAATGCCGAGTTTTACCAAAATCCGTTCATGTTTACATTGCAAAAGATACTTGAGCGACAGTTTAAAAAACCTTGAAGGGAAACTAAGACAGCATTTGCGTGAATGGAAAAACTTCCTTCCATAAGCAAATTGAAACATGGAAGTTCTGATTATGGTCGATTATGAAAGGAAATGAAATTTCTGAGAAACTACTTGAATATTCATTTGATTAATTGCACGTGGTTACTTCGGGCACATGTGCGAAAGTACAACTTCATTTGAATAATTTGCAGGAAAGTTATTGTCGAGGAATAACATTCAGATGCATCAAGCCAGAAGGAACATGTGAAACAATTATGTGAAATTGCTGAAGAAATCTACAAATAGATAAGCAGAAGCTGAAATGAGAATATATGCGGATGAATATAAAAAAACCCACAAAGCCCAAAATTTATATGATTTCTCCCCAGACGGTTGCGATTTATTCGCCATTGAAAAGCAGGAAGAAATGAAAACGTTCGAGCAAAACTCTGTTACCCTGATCCAGAGACATAATACGAGACTTTCATTTTCACACTGAGTGACAGCTCTTTTATCAAGTTATACATGAAATTCCCTTAAGTTCCTAAATTACATGCCATGAGCATAAAGGCACATCGCTCGAAAAAAACTTCGTTTAAAGCTTTCAGTTTTGCAACTTATAAGGGATGGTCTGTCTTTGTTGCGAAGGGAGCGGCCGTGCGCTTGCGACCGAGTCGGTGGAACAAGGATGGCCAAGACGGGACGCGGGCTGTTTTATATCTTTGAGAATAATTTGCTACACAACTCCATTCTTCTTGTGTGAAGTGATAAACACCCGTTAGTAGCTTAGGCCTGTTGGTAGTGCAGCGCAGGAAAGATGATGCGCAGCGCCCGTTTCTGCACTCGCTCGATCCTGATAGTTTGACTGGGAGGGCATTATGCCACACATTCTGTAAAGCTTTATGCAGTTGAACAGTCATCCAAGGATTTTACAACGAGATCATCAGCAAAAGGACGACTTTTAGACCAGTTTGGCTTTTTGACCAGTTTGCAGTTTGGTAAGTCCGCCATTTATAAATGCCAAAAATAAGATTGGCCCTACATGAACAAACCCAGATTTCTCAGCCTCTAAGATGACACACTGCTGCCTGTTATTGAGGACATCTTGTATCCATACCAGGTACAGTGTCACCACACTGTAGGGGAGTTCGGAAAATGCCACACAAAGCTGGAGCAATCACAGAGTTTAGTTCTTTTAACACACGTGGATGGGGACCATCCGGGCCAACGGTGTCGATTGGCGCCATGTGTGGATGACGAAGCTGGCTGGACATCTGTTGAATTAATGCTGCCTCTGCAATGTGTGAAAGCTTCATTAGACCAGTTTGGGAGAAAAACTCTTGCATTGTTTATTTGACAATTCTACTTTGCAGATAGGTCAGTGGACACCAAGTCGTCAGTGGACACCAAGTCTCCTGATTTCAGAGAAGTAATGCCAGTTTTGTCACTACGTGCATGTTTAATAAAGGACCAGAAGCATTTACTGCAGCTAGGCCTATGCTGTTGCAGCAGATGACCATCATCATCTGATTCCTCAAACACGTTGTTCATGTAATCACGTAATTTTTTGGACTTCCTTTATCAAGGACTTGTGATGTTTAATATCTTACCGAAGGGTTGTGCGTTTTAGTAGTTCTATCCGCTACCTTGTAGAAGTAGTACCTAACTGAAGCGCTGCTGTGCGCGTCGATCTCTTGGTTGCTGCGGTATTTGATTCATAATGATGTGGGTTT